GGAATTTTAGTTATTAGCTTATGGTGGGATATGCTAATTGCAGTACAGTACATCGATGACAAGCTTTACCAGCGCTTATCTCTTTCTTTTCCAGTTAACCAGCCTGATGAATGAAAAATGACAATGTCGTATTAGGTTATTTGACCAAAGCTTTCTATGCACAGAATTTTGCGTTTAAACTATATATTTATAATGGACAGTAATATTTATATTAGACAAATTCCGTAATTGTTTGACTTAACAGTAAATTCAAAACTAGTACGTAGTACAGGCCTTGAAAAGGTACAGTACAGCCCTTATATTACGGTCTGTACTGTACCAAAAATAGTACGTATTGATAATTGAAATAGTACAGTACAGAATTTCGAACGGTACAGTACAGAAGTTCAGGATACCGCACCGGAATTAACGTCAAAATCTAAGAATGGGACATTAATAACTGTCTCATCAATCAAATTGGAAATTTGACAAACGTCTGGCATACTCTATTCAGTCAGTCATGTGACAAACAATGTTAACCTGTCGACAATTTTTCTTTTGTACTTATGTATGCAATAGGGTTTTACCAGTTTTACCTTTTGGGTCACTACGTAACGAAAATTCCTGCTTCAATTCGGCTCTTAAATATATATTTACGCACGTTATCATGGATGATTGCTTGATGGCTGTGTGGTATCAGAATGCTTAGCCTCTGGATAAAGCACCCTCATTAACGGAAGCTTTTTGCGTCATTGTTCACTTGCAGCCGTTAAGAACTTATTATACCCGATTTATGAATTCGAATCTTATCATTTGGTTAGAGCCGACCCTTTTCAATAAATGTCCTTACACCTTTGCTGGATTTCATTGACAGAGGTTATTATCGCTGGAAGTGGACGAGAATTGTCGTATTTTGAATATATTGAAAAATCGGGAGGAATCCGTTACAATCTTTTACAGCAAAACATTTGATACGTAGAATGGAAGATTGTCCACAAAGATTACTGTATTTAATCGACTTATTATCTTGTTTGATTTTACTTTTAGGCATTGAAACATTAGGGAGCAGATTACATCGACATTGTGATAAAACAGATGACATTACATTCGCCGGAAGTGTTGGCTTCCGACGAGACGAACATGTTGCGGTAGACGGAAGAGACATTTGCAGAGGTTAGTTTTGGGTCAGATATTTGGCAACAGAGTTCCGAAACGTTTTGGACTATGACTGTCATCACATGGAAGTATAATAGAGTCAGCCGTAAGGCTGGGGGTGCGAAGCCTACCTCTCTCGCAATGTCAAGCCGCACGTCTACTTGATTAGACAAAAAGTTCGCTCTATCCGATATTGCGCGAGTGACACTCTCGTATGATAATATGACTAAGCACGACCGGTACAGAAAACGCAGCCGTGTCCCTTACGATGTGGTCCTACTGTAAAATTACTTTCCTACAATCGAGACGGATAAATCAGTTGAAAGTCTGTACAGTACAAAAGATGGTCTCTATTTAACGATACGACGATATGGGGTACTCTGCAACAAAACGAACGGGAAGTTCAAGACTGTTGAACGTTACGGTTGTCCGCATCATATACCATTAGGTATCTGCATTATCTCTATCTCTTGCAGTAGTTTGCCTTATAATAATAATTTTCGATATTAAGAGCATTGGTGTTAAACTTTTGATACCGCGTAGCTTGTGCAAGGTATCATAATATCCGCTGAACGATAAAGTCGTAGAATTCATAGCAACGTGCTGGAATATGCAAGCGGCAAACGGCAAGATGACAATCGACCTTTCATTAGTAGCCGTGACCAAAACGCACAACAATAAAGGACGTACTGTCTTTTATCAGTGTGATATATACGGTACTAATACTAATCCAAAACCACCTGACTTTCAAAAGCTATTATTACCAACTTTTTTCGAAATTCACCTGATGAAAATTAAGCATCAGATTGCAAATAAATAAAGCGGTTATATTTCACTGGCAAACAATAAGCCGAGCCCAAGGCAAATACTGGTAGATTTTCGATGTCTCATGGAGAATTTGATTTCAATTACCATTTGTTTATATTAAGCTGCAATCAGTGAAGCATTAATTAATTAAGCGTAAGTGTCAATTACTCGGCTGTATCCAAAAACCTTTCCTTACTAGTATTCCTCTTACACGATCATATCCCCACTAACAGACGAAAAGGTTACTTATAGATCCCCCAACGTTCTGTAATTGCAAGCGGGTAACTAACAATAGCCAAACAGCTACTCAAAGATTACCGCTGCGTAACTATTAATTGACAACTATATATTCATCCCACCCTCCTCCAATCATTATTCTAATGCTGATTCGAACATTGTCCGATGCGTAAGTTTGTTGCGTACTAGCAGACTTTTGCAGAGTCCGATGAGGGTGTCGTAAGTGACATTTCCACATCATCCCTGGAAAGGGGAATTGATCCAGACTCCTTTCCTACAGCAATAAAAGACGATTCGTTGCTTCTAATAGTCGTTGCTGACATTACATCGGCCAATTCCGAGCCATCTCTAGGCACCGACCAGTTGAATGGCTGTATTACCGTCTCGGGAAAAGTTTGTCGCGGCAGCGGTTCCACTTGCAATGACGATTCCTGCGATATGTTTTCCTGCCTCTCTTCTATTGACATGAGGCTCAATGAGTAAGCAATTTCTGGACTTTTTTCCCTCTGTCGCGCACTGAGATGTCCGGACTTAGCACTTCGGCCTCTCTTGGCGCGAGTGGTTTTAACGGCAGTCGTCTTCTTAACACGCCCCGCGCTGGTAGAGTTACGTTTGGGTGCCGCCTTTCTTTTCGTGGTCTTTGGTTCTTCAGACATTTCTTCATCCACTATCGATGAAGGCACAGTGATATCTTCTGTTGATATGCCTGAATGATTTTGCAAGACCATTAATTATTAGATCCTTAACAAGCTTCGTGTAGTGTGTACAAAGAGTATTTTTCCAATCAACAGACTACACGTCTATTTTACGCATGCCTTAAAACACGGCAGAAGAATGGATCAAAAACACTACTTCAAATAAATGTCTTGGCGAGAAGTGTGACGAATTTCTTGAAGTTGACAAAATTGACAGTTGGGGCGATACACTCCTATCAAGATCCATAGCGATACACGTTATCTACAGCTTACATACCTCGACTTTCCAGTAATTTGAGCAGTTTCCTAAGTTTCTTTTTCTTTTCATTTAACACGACTGCGAACTACAGAAGCGTTTGAAAGCGTATGAGCCTCCATAACAAAATCTGTACAGAAAATGAACATTCTCATCGATGTGTACCTGACTCAATAGTTCCTTCTCCCGTTCTTGTGCAGACATTCTCGCTAACGCGTTTGTCATTTCAGCATAACGACAATCTCTTTCTTTTAGTTCTTCCTCGAACTTTGCATTTGCTTCCTGTACCGATTTATACTGTTAGTACAGTGTCCAAGGCTCGTTTCAGCATGACGCATAATTAATCGACATGATACCTCTACAAAATTGATCTGTTTGGTTGCATTATTCATCAACTCTCTCCACATAATCGACGATGGTCGATCGTTCACAGGATACAAGTGAAGTTTCCATATGTCCACGATAGCTTTCTATTAACATAAACCCGCAATGTCAGAATAGCGAATATTCAATTTGTTACTGGAATATCAACGACGGGTCACCATTCGTTCGTCTCGCTTTGATTTGCTAGCGCCTTCTCGTCCTTCAACTGAAAACACAAGCTAAAACGCATTCGATTTCAGATTTGTTTACTCGGCAAACGAGTGAATAAATTCGTATCTTATTCTATCTAAGCATACCTCATAGTGGCTATTGGCTCTGATTTGACACGGTCTACCATCAACTATTTTCTGTCCACTCAAGAGCCCATGGATAACTATAAGCTGCTTTTCCTTTGAGTCCTTTGACACGCCAGCAGTATTGTTCAGTAAATCGTAGATAATCACTACAAGAAATAAATGTGACTTATTCGTTCAGGAGAATCACAAGTCTCCTTACTACAAAAAAGGGGTCGTCAGCCTCTACCTTTAGCTTCCCAGAACCTAGTACAGTCTGTCAGGACGACTTCACAAACCAAGTCTGTTGGTAAACACGTCTCTATTTCAGCATAAAACTTGGGCCGATACCAGGTCGTTTGACAGTACAAGCCTAAAGATCCTAAGCTAGCATCTGATTCGATGCCGAAAAGTCTCGTTGAGTGAATTTCGACTGCCATCATCGACACGGGTGTGTCGTCGATCATATTTATTCCGCGTTTGTCACACCCGATTGATTCCGCAATTTTCCATTATTAATATTAATATTACTGTATTACAATCCAAACCATTTTTGTATTACGTTTATTTAATCATTATCATAGAAACAGTCAATAGTAATAGTAATAGGTCCTGATTTCATAATACTATCCATAAGAGAAATTCCTGCCAAAGGAACATAAGGGTTGATCTAAGTTCCGCAAGTTACCAATTACACTTGATATTTTTATTCCAAACATGTTTCTTCCAGATCTAAGCACTTTATCCGTTTTTCCAATAAAGAGTTTAAACTTGAAATTAAGCACATCACGGACAAACGTTATGGCTCTTAAGAAAATTTGAAGGCTTACACCTTGATAACTTTTCTGGTAATTACTAATGTAAAAAACTTTATCGAATAATAACTATCTGACTTTGGCCTTACGTACATTACTCAAATCGCTACCGTAATTCTACCTCTTGCAAAAACGCCTTGCAATACAACGAGATCAAACATAAATGCGTATGTTTGTGAATGTCTTTATTAGTAGGGGACATAATGCTTATTGCCGCTCGATTTATTGATGGCAGACGAAGAAGGCAGAACTGGGTTTTGAGTAAATAATTTTTCATTGAAGAGAAGGCACTATACGGCTGTTTTTTCATTAGATTTTTTTAATGTTAGGAATACATGTGATAAAAGTGCAAAGCTCGATGTACTGTCTGTTTAAAGGATAATAAACTATTAAAAAATATAAAAAATTCACCTTCCGCAAAGAAAGAATAGTATTAGTATATATTTACGGGAAAAACCTATTGCGGATGCACCTTTAGCATTCAATTGTAGTAGTAGGTGTAGACAATAAAGAATGCGAAACGATTGCGAATTAATGAATTGGTATAGAGAACTTCCGTTTCCAAAATCAAACATTTTGAGATTTTTCGAAAAAAAAATGGTAGCAATCATCGATTGTGTTTATTATTATATAAATATTTCGTAATTTCAACGTCTCAATAATTATCTGCTCAAGTACAGAGTCGATTCAGATTTATAACAAAGTAACTGTAACAATATGAAGGCTATAACGTAACTTCTAAAGAATAGCAGTACGAAAAAAAAGAGGAGACAAAAGAATAATAATTTCACGTACGCGTGTGTGATAGTAAACACAATTGCATGTAATACGATATTGTAGCAGATTACACGCGTGCTTATCAACAATGTAAATGTTCGGGCTAATAATCAAATATCCACTGTTTGTAAGAAAGATAACATGGCTAATAGTAATTGTTCATTTTCACACCAGTTAGAATGTCAATATTCAAGTTACGTTCCATAGTATCTAACCTGTCTTCTGAATATAAACAAACCCAATAAAGATTTGTTCCACCCTAACGTAAAAATTGGTGTTAGAAACAATTAAATATTGAATACTAAAACACATGAATGATGAATAAATAAACCATACTTACGTGAGTAAAAATGTCTATAATAATGTCATCTTCAGACAAAACGTTAACCGCGCATGGTAAAATGTATTCAGCATGGTAGCCATTATATTCGGTGCCCATCGTATAGTGTATTTTTTCGGTTGATGTTTTTATCTACAATAAAAATCATTTATATTTATACATACAATAAAAACTATTACAATCAACAATATTGTCTTAATACTTACTTCAATTGTAAACATCCCTGACTTATTGTTAGCCCAACAATACTTCTCCAACAAAATGCCGAGTTTGTATTTATTTGGAGGTACTTTGAATATTGGTATTGTTACCTAATATATAATTGTTTATTAGTTAATATTCTCAGCGTATAAATACAAAGGTTGATACATAATAATGATTATTATTATACACTTACTTTATTATATGCATCAAGGTACAAATATCCACATGCGTAATAGCTATTAAATGATACATGTTAGTAGTAGTACAGTATAACGAAATAGTCACTATAATTACTTACACATCACATCTATTCCTATCATTAACGTGACTTTCATATGCGAAATGTGCTCTCAAACGACCTAATAATAGTAATTAGTATTAGTATGAATAACAATATATAATCATTATCATGTAATCATTGCCAACCCCTTACTTTTGTGCATGTAATAAACTTTTTCAAAAAACGCGTTTATACGTGTATGATTATGCCAAGTATTGTTATACGTGTTATACCAACTAGCAGCAGTGTTGTACCATCTGGTGTAATCATCTGTTCCATACTGATGTTTACACAGTGCTTGCCATTGATTGATATCATCTAATGTATACATTGCTCTGTAAAGACAACTATCCACAAGGAGTTCAAACCATTCCACATCAAAGTGCTCAAGTTTGTTTACATATTCATTAATAACATTGAATGTTTTTTTTTGCATACCCCAATTAAAACGTGCAATAACTTGTTTAACCCCTTTCTTATTTCCCAAACCTAAATGCGCCCTTAAACTTAAATTCCAGGCATTATCATATGTCTCCATATCAAACAGAGCCCCTCCAAAAATTTTCATTTTTATCTTCATCATTGCCCTATCACACAGTGTAATATAATTTGTAGTTTCACCTTGTAACATTTCTGTACAAATGCTCAAAGCCTTTTCCAACTCATTATTTTCATATGCAGCTTTAGCTTTTTGAAGTAACTTATCGGGTGCTGTTATAGTTAATTTTAATATTAATGATTTCCAAATTGAAATCAATGTAGATTCAGAACCAGACTTTCTTGCTCTGTTCTTCCGTTTTTGTTTTTTAAGGTTGTCACACTCATCAAATATTTTTATATCTGTATTGTTTCCAGAATTAGCATTATAAGTGTCTTGACCATCAATCTCTGTAATATGCATATAATGTTGAACATTGTTGTATATTATTTGTTGTGGCATATAATACACTTTATCCTTTCTTATTTCACTTCTGCAGTAAGGACACTCTAGGCTGTTTAATGATAAAAAAGCCTTTGAACTAATAATATGTTGACAATTGAGCTGATAAAAGTCACCAACCATTTCACAGACAATAGCACATGTAAGATCTTCTGCAATACAGTCAATTGGGCTTTTTTCAACACATTTCCCTTTTCCTTTGTCTTGTTTCTTATTTTGAAAATTAGTCATTATTTCACTTGGTGAGTATTTTGAAATCATTTTTGATTCAACTTCTAATTTTCTTTTTAGATAATAGTACATGCTAACCATTTTTGGTATATACTTCCCATCACAACCAGAAATATCATCAGGAGTTGTAACAAACAATTCACTATTCTTGACTTCAAGACTCAATAACACTTCAATAGATTTGAATTGAATAGATTCAGTGGTTGCATTATTCAACGAGTCTAATGCCATGTAATAACAAATAGCTTGTGTAGTGGTAGAAAATGTTTTCTGAATAAGCTGCTGAATAATATCCAAGATGCCAAACCAGAGTTCATCACTAACATCATTATTCTCTGCTGCTTCTTCAGCATAACATAAACTGATATGATACCACAGATACTCAAGAAGCACTCTTTCTTTGAAACTTGTTGAAATGGCAGACTCTTGTTCACACCACTTATCAAGACAATC